TAACCCCCATCATCACAAAATGTTTTGAGAAACTGGTCCTGAAACACATTAAATCCAGCCTCCTTGCCAACCTTGACCAACACCAATACGCCTACAGGGCACACCGGTCCTCAGAGGATGCTATTGCCACTGCCCTCCACACAGCACTCACACACCTAGACCTATAGAACTATACACATTCGACTGCACTCCCACTTACATACAATAATCAAATTTGCAGATGACACAACGGCGGTGGGACTGATTTCAGACAACAACGAAACATATTACAGAGAGGAAATAGACAGCTTGACAGACTGGTGCATGAACAACAACCTCACACTGAACACTAAAAAGACAAAAGAACTCATCATTGATTTCAGGAGACACCATGAGGACCACACTCCCCTAACCATCAGGGGAGAGGAAGTAGAGAGGGTCACCAACTTTTAGTTCCTGGGGACTTACATCAGTGAGGACCTCACATGGACAATTAACTCCTCTGCCCTGGTTAAAAAGGCTCAACAGTGGCTTTATTTTCTACGCACTCTGAGAAAGAACAACCTGTCCGCAGAGCTGCTCAGAGCCTTTTACCGCTGTTCAATCGAAAGTGTCCTAACATACTGTCTAACAACGTGGTATGTGAACTGTACAGAGGCAGACCGGAGAAGTCTCCAGAGAGTCATAAGGACTTCAGAAAAAATCATTGGACTTACCCTGCCCTCTCTGGAGGGCATCTTCAGTACCCGCTGCCTCCATAGAGCTAACAACATTGTGAAAGATGATACCCACCCCTGTCACCACCTGTTCTCTCTGCTACCCTCTGGGAGGCGCTACAGAGCACTAAAGGCTCGTACCTCCAGACTGAACGACAATTTTTATCCAGGAGCCAACACTGAACTGAACAAAATCAAACACTGACCCACCACGGGACAAATAATGATACAAATAGTGCAATATTGCTTCAACCTGCTTTGTTTACACGTTTAATTACAAACTAATGATGATGATCTAACTAATGATGGGTGTGTATGTGTTTGGATACTTTCTACTGTACTTGCGTAGGTATATATATACATGTGTGTATATGTATATCTTTGTTTTTATTCTATATATTTATATTTTTATATTTCAGGCATGGCACAGTAAATTTTGTTGTACTCTTGTGCAATGACAATAAAGTCTATTCTATTCTATTCTAGCTAATGAATATTAGCATACTGACCTCGATGAACAGTTTCCTGTCCAGCAGCTGCAGGATGTGGTCTCGCAGCTCCACCAGGTCCTGGTCCACCTGAGGCAGGTCCCTCTGGTCTCCACTCCGGTCTGAACTGTCCATGTTGACTTCATCCATGACGACTGAAACAACATTCACAGCTGATCACGACGTAAACACAAAGAGGAATGCCATGTTTTTAAGGACAGTTCACACACACACACACACACACACACACACCTACCTGTTTCTCTGAGTTTGTTTATCAGGTGTCTTCTTCTGTTTACAGTTAACTTTCAGTCTCCATGGTAACAGTTTGTTTCCACGGTTACAGAATCACAGCAGTGAGTTATTTACTGTCAAAATAAAGAAACTAAACGTCTCCATATGAAAATAAAAACAAAGATGTTTGAAGTAAAGTGGAGGATTATCTGACCATCCGGTCTTAACGATCGCGTCAGGGCCGCCCTGATTTATATCAAACATGTTTAATATTCAGGATTCAAACTCTTGATGATGACGTCATGAAAGGGTCTGCAGGAAGTCGTGTGTGACTCTAATAACCACGAGAGACGAGGGAGGATGGTAGTCATGGCGACCAGCAGCGAGTCGTTCAACAGCTGCTGCCAGTTGAAATCATAGACTGTCGAAATGCGAGGACTGTCAGGAAGAACCAGCAGAGTTGTACAGTTTAGTAAGAGTCGGGACAAACTTTAACTTTTGCATAGCCTATGCAACACACACACACACACACACACACACACACACACACACACACACACACACACACACACACACACACACACACACACACACACACACACACACACACACAGAGATACACACACTAACTGTCCGTGCAGAGCACTGTGATATTTTTCAGATGAGAGATGTGTGTCCTCTCTGAGTGATCTGTATGTTTAGTTATCCATCATGTGATTCATGAAATGATCTCGTTTAACGTTCATCCAGAGAGCATAATGTAATCCTGTGGTAATCACTGATCAGCTGTTTCAGCAAAACGTGCTCACTGATTAGACTATCTATAGAAATGTATTTCATAATGCAAATAATACGTGAGCATGAATCTCTAGATTATGTCAATGAAGCTAACACACGTGTAGAATATCGTTATTTGATGTAATGAGATGAGATGAGATGAGATTCAACTTTATTGTCATTACACATATACAAGTATAGAGTAACGAAATGAGGTTTGCCATCTTACCAGAAGTGCAAATAAGCAGAAAGTGCAAGAATCTGTGCTATGTACAGTAATTACAAAATTTGCAGATGTAGACAAAAAAAATGTGAATTATTGGGTATATACGGATGGATTAATGGGATGCTATAAATTTAAGTATATTCTTCAGATTATAATCTACAGATTAAGGTGCAGTGAGCATGCTATACTAGATTACTAGATTACTATTAATATTAAACATCATGTCATCACATACAGTATTATGTCACATCGTTGAGTTTTTTTTTTAAATCATCAGGTATAATCTAAATCATATAAAGATCTGCTCATTAAGGGTCATTCATCAGCAGCTGCCTGACACAATAAACAGAGAGCGGTAGAGATGCGACCGCAGTACTGGCCGCCACCACAAGGTGTCAGCACCCACAAACTGGCCGTAAGACTTTGTGGAGGTTTTAAAAAGTAGCCTACACATTAATGTTTTCATGTTTAGGAAAACGTTACCAATAGGCTATATTTTTGGTAACCTATGGCCCACACCACCACAAGATTTTTCGTCTCATTGTAAACTCATTAAAACAAGATAAAATAGCAACATTAAACACAATGCTGAATGAATTCAAACTAAACTGAACACAGCAGCAATGAATGAAACCGATTTATCTACTTATACCTGTGTGCATCGAGTCTTCCAGCAGGAGATGAGCTATCCTTCAGACATTATCTTCACTTACCGAACTCCTGCCAGCGCTGTTTTCGAATGAAAATTTTTTTATATATCTTTCAATGCATTTCAGTTTACCATTATTTCTTCATTCCTTGCCGAAGTTCACTACTCAATATTGTCACAGTCCAGAAGAATCACATGCTCTAGTCACTTAAAATGAGGCTCCCTTCCTGCATGTCATTCCCTTCTCTCTCCCAAATTTCTCTCTCTAAACTGTCCTCATTGACATAAAAAGCCCCAAAATAAACCTTCAAAAAAATATATATAGAACGATATATATAAGATTATTTCATTAAACACCTGATAAACCACTAAGCATACAGATCACTTAGAGAGGACAGAAACTACGCATCATTTTTATGTTCTCGATCACCCTCAGGAGAATACCTCTGTCCTCTGCACGGACAGTGTGTTATGCAACCACAGTAGTGGCAACGTGTCGAGAACACACCGGAAATTATGCTGCTCCTTTTCCTTTTTTTTTTTTTACATGGTTGACATCTAAAAAGTTGTATTACCATCTATTTCTCTTTTTTAAAATGTCTGTAGTCATTCTACTTGTTCACATTTTATAGCCATATATAACAAATAAGAGAAAAAAAACTTTAAGTCACCATTCCTTAATCAAGGCTTTAGTGTAAAGGCCAAAAGAATGAAAACACAAAACTATTTCTGTTTCTCCCAATAATGACTCAAGTTTAAGCACGGGCATATGGACAAAAAACCTTATCAATTTAGTACAAACAAACTAAGAGATATTCTTCCCACAGCACTGCGGTATGGTTAGCAATGCTACAAGCAGCTAGTATAAACTTTTAAGTACTGGGCTTTAAAAAATCTGAAGCCGTTAACCTGCTTTGATACAAATGACTTCTGAAGATAATGTGCATTGTTGTCACACTAAAGTAGACAATTAGCTCATAATGATTCATAGCGAAAAAGGGGTAAATGAGGGCGGGATGCACGACCATTCAAAAATACTACCAGGTTTCTAATGATACAAAGCTTAATGCAAATGGCTGAAGTTTCCCTTTAATGAAGTCCTGTGTCTTTATCATCAGCTGAGATTATAGAGACAGAGATCTGATCCTCCTTGTGTGCCCGGGGAGGACTGAAGATCTTTATAGTTTTATTTTCTAACTCTCGTCTCTTCTGATCTTTAAATAATAAAAATCAGCAGATTAACAAACATAAATAAATAAAGTAATGTCTGCTGGAGGTTTGTTTCCCCCTGGTGGTTAAACGAGTTATCACACCTTTAACATGATAAACTCTCATTTAATAAAACATGTTTACGATCTGTTTGTAATGTGTTTTATTCCCTCTTCAGTCGGTTCTCATGATTCTACTGGGAAACAAACTACGGTGTCCCAAAAAGTCACAGAAATCACCTGCATGCTTTTTATGTAATTTATAAAAACATGTTTGAGGGTTTGAGTGAAATGGTTTTGCAGTTGACCTCCAGGGCCACCTAGAAAGCAAACAGTGTGTGTGTGTGTGTGTGTGTGTGTGTGTGTGTGTTTCAGATTCTCTGACTTTATTAACTCATGTAGAATATAACGTTTAAAAAAACAGTTTATACAGAAAACATATATGAAATTATTTATATTATTAAAATGTTCACCAAACATTTAGAAAGTTAAATATTTTATTTAAGTGATTTTAAGACGAGAAACCTGGAGAGGAAGAATTTTATCACTTTATAATTTAAAGACTTTTACATTTAAAAAATAGAAAGTTTGAAATGTTTGTGAGTTTTTATTCAACTCCAACAAATCACAGGACGATGTCGGCCTGTTGTGAAAAACTTCACAACATGCCGACGTCGTGATGACGTCACAGAGAGTGACGCTCAGTCAGACGCAGTGAGCGGAAAAGAGTCATTAGTGTAACTGTCCGAGCTGAGGTCCTGCTCTCTCTCTCTCGCTCTCTCTCTCTCTGTGTCTGTGTGTTATATTTATGTATATACTGTGTGTGTGTGAGTGTGTTTATACAGTGTGTGAGTGTGGGGGGTCGGAAGAGAACGACCAGACCGTAGAAGAAGAATCTGGTCCGCTATGGGAGCTGTTCTGGGAGCCTTCTCATTGGCCAGCTGGGTGAGTTCTCATTTAAATATAATTATAATTTAAACATAGAGAGCAGCAGCTGATTGGTCTACACCAAACCCCAAAAACCTGCTCATTCAACACCTGAGCGCGTGAGCACAGGGCTGTGATTCAATACCTGAGCGCGTGAGCACAGGGCTGTGATTCAATACCTGAGCGCGTGAGCACAGGGATATTTATGGTTAATTCATAAATCAACAGTTTGATCTTCTTCGAGTCTCATTTCTGTGTCGGTTCTTTCCGTTCTTATCCGTCCTCACTCGGGTTCATCAGGTGATACCAGTAAACCAAACCTCATTCAGAAACCTGCTGATTTAACTCAACAGGTTGTGACGTAACCCGAGCTAACCTGACGGTCATAAATGGCTCGTGCATAAATTAATACTTATTCGTATTTCAGACATTTCTGATTCGGGTCGGTTTCGTGAAACTGCGTCTCCACTCGGTTTTATCCGGTGAGTCCGGTAAACCAAACTCCATTCAAATATTTACCGATTTTATCTCCACTTTGTCTCAAAAGATTTATTTTTATTTCTAATTAATTCCAGGTCGGAAATAACTTTTACAGTCCGTTATTGAGACATGCTATATGCCACACACACACACACACACACACACACACACACACACACACACACACACACACACTGTCTTCATGTTCACAGGTTTGTTTGTTTGTGTGTGTGTGTGTGTGTGTGTGTGTGTGTGTGTGTGTGTGTGTGTGGGGGGGGGGGGGGGGGCAGTGCTCCAGAACCCCTTAATGATCAGGTGTCTGCAGGTTCTTTCATGTAAAACAATCAATGACCCCCAGGTGTCTTGGACTTCTGTTTTTGTTACCATGGTAACTAACAGGTATTGTTTACTTTGAACTAGAAACATTTTGGGATCATAACAAGCCGCGGTGTGGTACAGGAACATGAGGCTTAGTGTTAAACAGAGTGGAGGCTGCAGGGATGTAAAGGGTTAATCATAATACAGCAGGTCATCTGCTCACACGTGATCAAATGGATTAACTCTGCGTGTTCCACCACTCAAAACAAAGCACGCCGTGTTTCACTGCCAGCAGACCATGGAGGATGTGTGGAGAGGACTTCCTGTCAGCACCATGTGCTCTGCCTCTGGTCACTTCCTGGCCCTTTCCGAATTGTCACAGTTCAGTATGCAGTACGTACTATTCAGTATGGAGTTTCAGTATACTGAACTGTCGTGGTCATTCAGTATGCATTGTTTAGGTCCACCGCAGTATACTGAACATTTCAGTATGGATACTAACTTCCAGGTTTCATGCAGTATAGATCGGATGCGTGCTTTCAGGAAATGAATTGTTTTACCACCCACAATGCTGTGCGAAACGTAAATCGTCACTTCACGTCCGCCTCCAAATCAAAACAAATGAGCGTGGATTCATTTAATCAATTTTTAATCTAGAGTTAAAGTCCCGACTGAAATCACTACTTTAAATTAACAACAGAAAATATAACAAATGTCTGCATTATTATAAAAGCTTCCCCCCTCTATTTAAATAATGATTTAACTATTTAAATGTGTCTTTATTGTTTATTTTACTTTATATTCTGTATATTACTGTCTTTCATTTGTACTTTTCTTTATGAAGGCTACTGTATGTTATTTAGTTATTTAATCTGCCTTTTACGTGATTTACATTGTGATATTTTTTTTGTTTACCTGACTGTATATGCGCATTACTCTTCTTGAATAAAGCTAAACAAAAAAAAAAACGGGTGAATGCGGCCGGTTCAGGAAACGTAAATGACGTCACTTCCATACTGAATGAATCAGATGAAGTAGGAACAAATATCTGCCTACTGTGTGTGCATACTGAATAGTAGGTACTAACAGTATGCAGCACGGATAGTACGTACTGACTACTGACAGATTGAGTATGTACTTGGCAATTCGGATACAGCCCCTGTCAGCACCTGTGCTGTGCCTCTGGTTACTTCCTGTCAGCACCTGTGCTGTGTCTCTGGTCACTTCCTCTCAGACTTGAATCTGTTTTTTTTCACTTCCTGTCGTCGTCTCCTCCTCTCCTCTCTCTCTCTCTCCTTGTGTTGTTCTGACTCTCTGATGTTCGTCTCTTTGGATAAAAGCGTCTGAATAATGCATTGTAGAATTGTTACATGGTCTTACATCGTGTCACTGAAGAAGACTCCCACAGTGACCTTCAAGAAGATAAATCTGTGTCTTCCTCTCAGCTGATGGCGTGCTCCTGTTTGTCTCTAATGGAGAGCGGCGTCCTCTCTGTATGTGTGTCACAGCCGGTCATGTGCTGCTCCAGTTATCACAGCGGATCAGTCATGAACTGAGGTGACCTCGTCTGGCTGGCGGAAGAATTAACTTGTTGTTGACTTTGATTCTTTACCTCCTCACTGTGACACAGAGAGGTGGGGGCTGACAGGTGTGATGTGTGTGTCTGCAGGTAGAGACTTACAGGTGTGATGTGTGTGTCTGTAGGTAGAGACTTACAGGTGTGATGTGTGTGTCTGTAGGTAGATGCTGACAGGTGTGATGTGTGTGTCTGCAGGTAGATGCTGACAGGTGTGATGTGTGTCTGCAGGTAGATGCTGACAGGTGTGATGTGTGTGTCTGCAGGTAGATGCTGACAGGTGTGATGTGTGTGTCTGCAGGTAGAGACTTACAGGTGTGATGTGTGTGTCTGCAGGTAGATGCTGACAGGTGTGATGTGTGTGTCTGCAGGTAGAGACTTACAGGTGTGATGTGTGTGTCTGCAGGTAGATGCTGACAGGTGTGATGTGTGTGTCTGCAGGTAGAGACTGACAGATGTGATGTGTGTGTCTGCAGTTAGAGACTTACAGGTGTGATGTGTGTGTCTGCAGTTAGAGACTTACAGGTGTGATGTGTGTGTCTGCAGGTAGATGCTGACAGGTGTGATGTGTGTGTCTGCAGTTAGAGACTTACAGGTGTGATGTGTGTGTCTGCAGGTAGAGACTTACAGGTGTGATGTGTGTGTCTGCAGGTAGAGACTTACAGGTGTGATGTGTGTGTCTGCAGGTAGATGCTGACAGGTGTGATGTGTGTGTCTGCAGGTAGAGACTTGCAGGTGTGATGTGTGTGTCTGCAGGTAGAGGCTGACAGCTGTGTGTGTGTGTCTGCAGGTAGAGGCTGACAGGTGTGTGTGTGTGTGTGTGTGTGTGTGTGTGTGTGTGTGTGTGTGTGTGTCTGTAGGTAGAGACTTACAGGTGTGTGTGTGTTTCTGCAGGTAGAGGCTGACAGGTGTGTGTGTGTGTGTGTGTGTGTGTGTGTGTGTCTGCAGGTAGAGGCTGACAGGTGTGTGTGTGTGTGTGTGTGTCTGCAGGTAGAGGCTGACAGGTGTGTGTGTGTTTCTGCAGGTAGAGACTGACAGGTGTGTGTGTGTGTGTGTGTGTGTGTGTGTGTATGTGTGTGTCTGCAGGTAGAGGCTGACAGGTGTGTGTGTGTTTCTGCAGGTAGAGACTGACAGGTGTGTGTGTGTGTGTGTGTGTGTGTGTGTGTGTGTGTGTGTGTGTGTGTGTGTGTGTGTGTATGTGTGTGTCTGCAGGTAGAGGCTGACAGGTGTGTGTGTGTTTCTGCAGGTAGAGGCTGACAGGTGTGTGTATGTGTGTGTGTCTCCAGGTGCCGTGTCTGTGCAGCAGCGCCACCTGTCTGCTGTGCAGCTGCTGTCCGAGCACCAGGAACTCCACGGTGACCAGGATCGTGTACGCCTCCATCCTGCTGCTGGGGACCATCGTGGCCTGCATCATGCTGTCGCCGGGCGTGGACCGCCAGCTGAGGAGGGTATGAGAGGAGGACCTCACAGGGACATGAAAACCCATCATTAACACAAACACAGAAAGAGGAAGTAATTATGTTACACAGGTGTTCATGTAGCCAATGGGAGCTAACGCTACACAGGTGGGACTGATGAGGGGCGGACTGATGAGGGGCGGACTGATGAGGGGCGGACTCGACCTCAGATAAGAGGAGGATAATGGTTAAGCTTTAAGATCTTTTTTAACATGTCAGTTAAACGTGTAAACATATTTACATTCTCATTATAACAGATGGAAAGAGATGAAATCGTGTCTGTGATATTAAACAGCTGGAGGCAGTTAGCCTAGCTTAGCATTAAGAGGGTAAACAACATCTAGAAACATTTAGCTCTTTTGCAAAGTTATTAAAAAAACTAATTAAGATTGTTTTCGTGTCTTTGGTGTCGAAAAGACGTTCAGAAAGAAAAAAAACTTTCAAAAACACATTGGATTCTAGAAACGAAAACAGTGTTGTTTATTGACAGATCCCCGGGTTCTGTGAGGGCGGCGCCGGCTCTAACGTCCCCGGCCTGCAGGCTGACGTGAACTGTGACATGTTTGTGGGTTATAAGGCCGTGTACCGCGTCTGCTTCGCCATGGCTTTGTGGTTCCTCGCCTTCTGCGTTCTCATGATCAACATCAAGAACAGCAGAGACCCCCGAGCGGTGGTCCACAACGGGTGAGGAACAACAACAACAACAGCAACACAACATCACAACAATAACACGTTTAAACAACATCACAACAACAACAAGTTTAAACAACATCACAACAACAAAAACATCACAACAACAACAACACAACATCAACACAACAAAAACCTCACATTAACAACATCAACATCACAACATCAACAACATCACAACATGTTTACACAACATCACAACATCAACATCAGAACATCAACACAACAAAAACCTCACATTAACAACATCACAACATCAACATCACAACATCAGCAACATCACAACATGTTTACACAACATCACAACATCAACGTCACAACATCAACAACATCACAACATGTTTACACGTCAACAACATCACATCATGTTTACACAACATCACAACAACACAACAAAAACATCACAACATCAACAACAACATCACATGTTTACACATCAACAACATCACAACATGTTTACACAACATCACAACAACACAGCAAAAACATCACAACATCAACAACAACATCACAACATGTTTACACAACAACATCACAACAACACAATAAAAACATCAAAACATCAACAACATCACAACAACACAAGAACGTGTAACGTGTAACAACACCTGTACCTGTACAGACATACAACACCTGTACCTGTCTCACCTGTTTCTGTATCACCTGTACCTGTCTCACCTGTTCTCGATCACCTGTACCTGTCTCACCTGTTTCTGTATCACCTGTACCTGTCTCACCTGTTTCTGTATCACCTGTACCTGTCTCACCTGTTTCTGTATCATCTGTACCTGTCTCACCTGTTCCTGTCTCACCTGTTCTCGATCACTGTACCTGTATCACCTGTTTCTGTATAACCCTTTTCTGTATCACCTGTACCTGTATCACCTGTACCTGTGCTACCTGTTCTCGATCACCTGTACCTGTGCTACCTGTGTAATCATGTTTATTGAACTATGTGTTTCCAGGTTCTGGTTCTTTAAGTTTGCAGCTCTGGTGGGGATAACAGTCGGAGCCTTTTACATCCCTGACGCTCCGTTCACCTACAGTAAGTGATGACCACCTTTATAACATCAGACACATGACCACGATGAATGAAGTCATAATAAACCTGGATATGAAACCATGTTCTGTGTGTGTGTGTGTGTGTGTGTGTGTGTGTGTGTGTGTGTGTGTGTGTGTGTGTGTGTGTGTGTGTGTGTGTGTGTGTGTGTGTGTGTGTGTGCGCGCGTGTGTTTGTGTGCAGCCTGGTTCATCATCGGCTGTGGGGGGGCGTTCTGTTTCATCCTCATCCAGCTGGTTCTGCTGGTCGACTTTGCTCACTCCTGGAACGAGTCCTGGGTCAGCAACATGGAGACGGGCAGCTCGCGGGTCTGGTACTCAGGTCAGCAACAAATACACACACACACACACACACACACACACACACACACACACACACACACACACCCTCTCTCACACACACACTCTATGAGGACTGACTCACTGCAGGAGACAGACTCTAGTGGACACTGGAGGAACTGCAGTCCTTGGAACTTCCATATTGTATCCATGATTGAACAAACTGGAAGTTGTCCCTCGTTTCAAAAACTGAAATAAAAACTTTTAAATTATAGAGACTAAATATTTTTTTTCATATTTCTACTTCCTGCTCTCAGCTCTGCTGGTGGTCACTCTCCTGAACTACATCCTGTCCTTAGCGGCCGTCGTTCTCTTATTCGTGTTCTACACGAAGCCTGACGGATGTTTCATCAACAAGTTCTTCATCAGCTTCAACATGTTGTTCTGCATCATCGCCTCAGGCGTCTCTGTGCTGCAAAAAGTCCAGGTAACACACACACACACACACACACACACACACACACACACACACACACACACACACACACACACACACACACACACACACACACACACACACACAAGTCAAGGTAATAAACACACGCTTAAAGAGCCCATATTATGCCCTTTTTGGGGTTTGTATATTTAATCTATGTATCTACTTTTGTACGTTCACAATAGCTAAAGTCTGAAAAAAGTGTCTGTTTTCATGTACTGCTCCTCCTTGCTCCCTCTGCGCTCTGAGTCCGTCAGCTGCACTCTGTTGAGCCCACACTGTTAGACCCCACGTGGGCCAAGTCTGCTCTGATTGGTCTGCCGTCGTTATTGGTCAGTTGCTCAGTTGCTCAGTTGCTCAGCACGTGTCTTGGAAATGTCAACATCAGCTGCAGGGCTTGCCACAACAAGCCAATGGGCTTAGATCAGTGATCTCACACTGACAATGACGCCGCACTGACAAATTTTTATCGAGGGGGGCTAGAACCGAGCTTTACCTGCAGCTAATGCTGCAGCTAACAGGAGGACGTAGGAGATGCTGCGTTTCCACGGACTTTTAATTTTTGCACATAGATGTTCCTAAACATGCACAGGACACTTTGAAAACACACTAAAGAGCATATAAAACCAGAAAAAGCATCATATAGGACCTTTAAAGTCACCATAGTAACTGATTTAGAGTGTATGTGTGCGTGTGTGTGTGTGTGTGTGTGTGTCTCTGTGTGTGTGTGTGTGTGTGTGTGTGTGTGTGTGTGTGTGTGTGTGTGTGTGTGTGTGTGTGTGTGTGTGTGTGTGTGTGTGTGTGTGCAGGAGTCTCAGCCTCGCTCAGGTCTGCTGCAGTCCTCCATCATCACCCTGTACACCATGTTTCTCACCTGGTCGGCCATGACCAACGAGCCAGGTGAGCATGAGACACACACACACACACACACACACACACACACACACACACACACACACACACACAGACACACACACATTATTGTATTTATATTCTGTGTTCACGCTGGTCACACCTCTCCGTCTGAAAGCGGTCGAGTCAAACGCTTCTCTCTGCTCGTAAAAATCTTTGAACTGCAATGCATGATGGGATATATTGCTTGGATAGTGACCATAGGTTGTACACTACTTTTCATAATGCATTGTGGGAAAAAATGAGTGGACTCTATAGGGTTTGATGATGCTCACTCAGGGTGCGTTCGTATGTCCCCTCTATCTCCTTTCACTATCCACTTTACCTTAACCCCGGGGAAAGTGTCATGGTTAAGGAAAGAGGTTAGGAGAAGTCATAAAGGACTTAAGGAAAGGCGATCGCGTTGCTCTGACAATCCGACCACATTTCCACTAGGCGATGTCATTAAATAAAACGGGCCGGCGGAGGTTAATGACGTGGGTCCGCCTTGTTGAAACTACAATGTTCAGAAAATGGACTACAAAAAACGCATCTAAAAAACTTTCCCCTGTGCCTTCTTACCGGTGAAATAATCCTAATTACCACAAGGTTGGAATTGAAATAAAAGAAATATAGACTACCAGGCTACAAGTAACAAAAGTGAAACCATCACATTCCTGTCTGCTCATAAATCAACATCAAAATAAGTATGATTGTATGAAATTAATTGTTACATGTATGCAGGATATAGCCTTCACATATGTTTTAATCATACAAATGTGCAACTGCACAAAGCATTCTTAAGTGAATGAAATATGTTGAATAAAACATCATCTGGATAAAAATGTCTCTTATCTTTTATCCCTTACATGATCTGTGTCACTTTACGGTCATCGTTAATGTTCATGAACGGTCGGATGCGCAACTCGCTTTAAATGTTGCGGCCGCAAGGAATTGTGGGTGCGTCATATCTCATCTCCTTTTGTAAAGGATGGTCCAGTGTATCCTATGCTAAAGGAGGTTATAAAGGAAGCACTGACCCACCTTTCCTTTTAGAGAACTTGAATGGCTCTCATCATGGCCGCCACTTAAATGCTTCCGGGTCATTTCACTCAGTTAGGAACCTTCCTGAGCAAAAACGACAATTCGAACGCACCCTCGGAATTCAGACCGCTGCAGAACGGCGTGTTCACTATAACGTGACTCTCTCGGCGTCACGTGACTCTCTCGGCGTTCGCGTCACGCTCGCTGTGTGTTCCACTTCCTGTTCTTAACTGATTTCTCTCACATAACTCTCCTCGTGCTCAGCAGAACTTTTAAAGGGTTAACTTCAGTTTTCATGGATCTCAGAGTTGAACATTTTAATACGTTTCAGAACGATCAGGTCAGATAAGATTAGAAGTTAAAATTCTCTCATGTTCTCTCTCTGCTCCGTCTCTCAGGGCGCTCTCACACTGAGCAATGCGTACCGTGTCTCAGCACGCTTCAGCCCTAAAGTCCAGTTAGTCTGACCAATGAGAGCGCTCTGATCCACGCTCAAACATGGTACACTTCCTCTGTCCTGGCACGCTTTGAAGAGGAGTTCTTCAGTACGGTACAGTTCATACATGAGGATAAACACGGCAACACGGCGTGGACAGACTTCATTATGTTCAGTCTGACTAACATGACTCACACGCTGACGGAGCGGCGCTCTGACGCTTTGTTTGTGAATCAGACGATGACTTTTTGATTCGTCCGTTGTAACGGGTGTGATATGATGAAAGTCTGTGAGTGAACAGACCATAATACACATTTAAAGGTACAGTACACTGAAGAGGAGGAGTCAGGTGCTGCTAATTGATAAATCATTGATTGATTAATAATCCTTCTCTCTCCCTCCTCAGACCGGGAGTGTAACCCCAACCTCCTGAGTATCTTCCAGCAAATAGCGGCCCCCACCCCGCCCCCCCTGGAGATAGAGAACCAGACCTCGGTGCTGATTATCGGCACAGAGGAACCCGTCCTGAGCGCCCCCTACCTGCAGTGGTGGGATGCGCAGAGCATCGTGGGACTGGCTATCTTTGTGCTCTGTATCATCTACTCCAGGTACGCAGATGGATCCTCTAAACCAATCACAGGGCAGCAGGGAGTACACGCAGTTTATATACTCAGACCCTTAACAAATAACAAATTAACCCTCAGGCATCAGTTTAATTTACTACACTCTTAACTATTATTATTATTATTATTATTATTATTATTATTATGTCATTAAGGACAAAACTGTCCACTTCCAAAAAACTGCTATAAAAATAGAACAGATTGATATTTTTTTCTACTTTTTTCTGCATACATCTCTTAAACAACTTCAGCTCTGCTCAAAAATATCAAATATTGAATAGTTATCAGGAATTTAACCCTTTAAATGCCAGTTTGATTACATGATTCTGGCTTTTAAAGCTTTAAATTCCTAAAAATTATTGAATTTTATTGATTATTGAACAATATCAATCTGTTCTATTTTTATAGCAGTTTTTTGGAAGTGGACATTTTTGTCCTTAGTGACTTAAGAGGGTA